ACATTATAAATTAATTATAGAAATAGCTGTGAGGAGCAAGTAATGTCAGGCAAACTGTAAAGATTCACCATCGTTCCAAAAGTCGTACTCATATTCCAAAGTTGCAAAAGGTCCAGGAGCTGCTGACTTCACATCTTGAACTATAAAATGTCCATATCATTATCTTGTATGCTATGCTGCCTTTCTTGGATAACGTGGGGATTGTGTGAGGGACGTGAATTTGTCAATATTGCTACCAAATGTATAATTTCTTACTGCATATGTGCCAATACGCATGATGAGGAGCACAGATCTGCATCAGGTTAATGATGTGCAAGGTCCATGTAGAGGCATCCCATTGGGATTCTATTCTGAGGTTTCCATTCTCAATGTTTTCAGGGTAATATTTATATGTTATTTGTGTGTGCTGAAACTACTGGTTTGATTATGTTTCTGAGGATCTGCTTTGTTTCTAGTGTTATCCACATTGGATCATTGGAATCATCCCCAATGGACTCAGCCAGTGAACCAGCTCTCATCTCTGTGGCCTAAAAGTGTCAACAGGAATGGATATGGAACACGTGTGTCTGAAAGGCCAGAAGCAGAATTAACATCTGGTTGATGTGGCGCAGTTTCCTGATGCGGAGATTGTGGCCTCATGATGCAGTGAAGCTGAGAAGATCCACAGTTGCTAATGTTCCATGGAATGCTGTAAAGAGGACAGAAGGGTAGTAATGCTATATTCTGTTTAATGGTGGTGATCAGATCACCACGTCACGACGTGTAGCATAGCGGTGATGTAACACCTTCTTCCACTGAGCCAACATGGGTGATAAGATGCCTCCTCCACATTAGGATCCCATGCAGGTCACATCTGGGAAATTGCTATCGTACGGTACAGACAGAGGACATTGGTTACTCCAGACAACTAAAGGACACAACAAGGCTATGAGATGGATGATGATGATCTGTGAGAGCCATAGCATTGTATTAGGTAAGACAATTGGACCTTCTTCAAACTGAACAGTATTTTCAGCCTCCTATAGTGCAGCAGCCTTTGCCAAAGCAACATAGGCTGTATATCTTTGTGAATGTTATGAGGTGAATGTGCCATTGCTGAACTAGGGTGGACAAGGTCAGAAACCACATGACACCATGTTATAGTCCAACAGGTTTATTTGAAAACACAAGCTTTCGGAACATAGGCTGTATATCTTTGTGAATATCATGATGTGAAGGTGCCGGTGTTGGACTGGGGTGGACCGCACAACACCAGGTTATAGTCCAACAGGTTTGTTTGAAGGCACAAGCTTTCAGGGCCTTGCTCCTTCTTCAGGTGAGAGGGGACCGAGGCTCCAAAGGCTTGTGTTTTTGGGTGGACCTGGTGGACTGTGGCCTAGTGTTGTGTGATTTATGACTTTGTGAATGTCATTCAATGGAACGGAGTTGCAGGAAATCATCTTACAATGACTGTAAATATGTTGATGCCCCTGTATTATCCCAACTGCAAATGCAACTTACCTGTTTGACCTTTTTATGCTTTTCCTAGTCTTTATTAAAAGTTTATTAAAAGAGGTGCTGCGCTTTGGTAGAGCAAATCAGGGCAGGACTTATACCTTAATGGTAAGGTCCTGGAGAGTGTTGCCGAACAAAGAGACCTTGGGGTGCTGGTTAGTAGTTCCTTGAAAGTGGAGTCACAGGTAGACAGGGTTTTGAAGAAGGTTTTGGTACACTTGCTTTTATTGGTCAGTGCATTGAATATAAGATTTGGGAGGTCATATTGCAGTTGTATAGGACATTGCTTAGGCCACTTTTCGAATAGTGCATTCAATTTTGGTCTCCCTGCTCTAGGAAAGATGTTGTGAAAGTTGAAAGGGTTCAGAAAAGATTTACAAAGATATTGCCAGGGTTGGAGGGTTTGAGCTATCGGAAGAGGCTGAATAGGCTGGGGCTATTTTCCCTGGAGAGTTGGAAGCATGGATAGACAAGGTGTTTTCCCCAGCATAAGGGAATCCAAAACTATAGGGCATTGATTTGAAGGTGAGTGGTAAAACATTTAAAAGGAACCTAAGGGGCAACGTTGTCATGCAGAAGTTTATATGTGTACAGAAGGAGCTGTTAGTGGAAGTGGTGAAGGCTGGTACAATTACAACATTTAAAAGGTATCTGGATGAGTATATGAATAGGAAGGGTTCAGAGCGATATAGGCCAAATGCTGGCTAGATTTATTCAGGATATCTGGTCGACATAGACAAGTTGGACTGAAGGGTCGGTTTCCATGCTGTACATCTCTATGACTCTATGTTGATAGGTGTCGCATGGCAAGGTAAGAATGCTGTGAGCTTGTAGGTAGGCACCAATAAGTGAATCCCAACAGAGCAAACAAGTAGACTCGAACCGCAATCTGTGAGCTGGGTGACTGAGCATGTGCACAAATTGTCCCTTATGTAGACTTTCAATATAGTTGCCAGTGCGTCCTCCAACATGTGTCTGTGAAAGTGTATCAAAGAGGTACCACGATAGTGACCATAACTCCATAAGATTTTGAGTCATGGACAAGGAGAAGAGTGGCAATTGGATGAGGGTGCTTAATTGGACAAAGGCCAATTACACCAAGGCAATTGCAAAGGCAAATTAGACAGGAACTGGGGAATGTGGATTGGGAGCAGTTGTTTGAGGGCAAATCTACATCAGGCATGTGGGAGGCTTTTAAAGACCAATTGATTAAAGTGCAGGACATGCATGTTACTGCAAAACTGGAGGATAGGAATGGCAGGATTCGGGAACCATGGATGACAAGGGAAATTGTAAGGCTAGTCCAAAGAAAAAAGGAAGCATATGATAGGTCTAGGCACCTACAAACTGACAAAGTCATTGAGGAGCATAGAGAAATTAGGAAGGAACTTAAACATGGAATTAGGAAGGCTAAAAGGGACCATGAAATGTCTTTAGCAAACAGAATCAAGGAGAATCCTGAAGCTTTTTATGCATATTTTAGAAGGAAGAGGGTAGCAAGTGAAAGAGTAGGCCCACTGAAGCACAAAGGGGGAAGTTATATGTGGAGCCACTGGAAGTGAGGGGATCCTTAATGAGTACTATGTATTGGTGTTCACCAGGGAGAAGGACATGACTGATGTTGAGGTCAGGGATGAGTGTGTGAATACTCTAAAGAATGTCAATATATTGAAGGAGGAAGTTTTGGGTATCCTAAATTGTATTAAGGTAGACAAGTCCCTGGGACTAGATGGGATCTATCTCAGGTTACTGCGAGAGGCAAGGGACTTAGGGCATTAGCAGATATCTTCACATCTTCTTTGACCACAGATGAAGTTCCAGAGGACTGGAGATTAGCCAATGTTGTTCCCTTGTTTAAGAAAGGAAGCAGGGATAATCCAGGAAATTATAGCCGGTGAGTCTGACGTCTATGGTGGGGAAACTCTTAAAGAAGATACTGAGGGACAAGATATATGCACATTTGGAAGAAAACAGACTAGTTAGTGACTGACAGCATGGTTTTAATGGGGAAGATCATGTCTCATTAACCAGATTGAAATTTTTGAAGAGGTGACAAAGATAATTGATGAAGGAAGGGCTGTGGATGTAGTTTATATGGACTTTAGTAAAGTATTTGATAAAGTCCCACATAGCAGATTGGTACAAAAAACTAAAAACACATGGGATTCGAGTGGGCTGGCTAGATGGATACAAAATCGGCTTGGTCATAGAAGACACAGGGTAATGGTGGAAGAGTATTTTTCAGAATGGAGACCGGTAACTGGTGGTGTTCCACAGGGATCAGTCTTAGGTCCTCTGTCATTTGTGGTATATATAAATGATCTAGAGGAAAATGTGGGCGGCCTGATTAGCAGTACCATTCAGCACCATTTATGATTCCTCAGATATCATGACAATATCCAGGCTTCAGCTGAAAAGTGGTAAGTACCATTTGTGCCACACTAATGCCAGATGTTGACTATCTCCAATAAGAGACAAAAGGGTCTGGTAAAAGTGAAGAACTTCGAGGTATTAAGTGATGCAATCCAAAGAGTTTGGAAGGACTACAGAAATATGGTTTCAGAAATGTTCAATTTCTTCCCTAGTTTCCACAATGTCCTGGGTTGATTAGGTCCCAGGGATTTATCTATCTTTATGTGTTTTAAGGCCTCCAGCATCTCCTTTTCTGTAAAGTGGACTCTTTTTAAGACATCACTATTTATTTCCCCTAGTTTCTATGTCTTCCACCACGGTAAAAATGACGAGAAATTTTTGTTTAGGATCTTACCCATTTCCTGTTGCTCCACACATGACCTCTACTGATCTGACCCTCTCCCTTGTTACTCTTTTGCCCTTAATATACTTGTAGAATCTCTTTGGATTCACCTTTATCTTACCTGCCAAGGCTATCTCATGTCCCCTTTTTGTGCTCCTGATTTCCCTCTTAAGTGTACTCCTGCACCCCTATACTTCTCAAGGGATTCACTTGATCCTAGCTTCCCACACCTGTCTCCTTCCTTTTCTTGATCAGAGCCTTAATTATCTCTGTCATCCAGTGTTCCCACTCATACTGGCCTTGCCTTTCACACTAGCAGAAACCTGCTGGCCTTAAACTCTTGTATTCTCAATTTGAAAGCCTCCCACTTGCCAGACATCCATTTAACTGCAAACAGCCTCCCCAGTCAACTTTTGAAAGTTCCTGTATAATACCATCAAAATTGGCCAGCATATTGTAAATGTTAATTTTCCTTTTAAATTAACATTTCTTACAAATTCTCCTGAGGAGTGCAAGATGAAAAGCTTTGACAAATTAAAAACCGAAAGAACTGCGGATGCTGTAAATCAGGAACAAAAACAGATGTTGCTGGAAAAGCTCAGCAAGTCTGGCAGCATCTGTGAAGAAAAAATCAGAGTTAACATTTCAGGTCCGGTGACACTTCAAAGCTTTGACAAAATGCTGTTTTTCAACAACACTCAAGTTTTGTGCTACCAAATAACAATGATGTTTTAAGCAATAAGTTTAGTACCTTGAATTGCATGCCACTTAAGAGATTGGATTTGTTTAGTTTCAGGCCTAAACACCATCCCCAGCCAATCTCTCCCACGTAGTGTTGCTTGGGTATCTGATATGAACCATAAGGTGCAGCACGATATAAGTAGTTTAGATTTCCAGTATTTTCAGCAGATACATGTTGAGTCTCACCAATGTAGTAAGGAAAGTCAGAGAATTTTGGTCTGAAATCTCTTGAAGCATCTGGTCCTAAAAAAAGTAAAATTGCATTGTGCCAACAATTACTTATCATGCAATCATAGAATAGCTACAAGGGCTTTCAGCTCAACATGTCTGCAATGGTCCTTGCAAGAACAATTCACCTTGTGCTATTTTTACTACCTTTTAATAAATAAGTTAATATAATTGTGACCTCATTGGCAGAAGACTATCTGATCTATTTCATCATTCAGTTAACTCATGGCTGCTGCGTGTCCTGACTCTACCCTACTCACCTTGTAGCGATTGTAATAAGGCCAGCCAAGTGGACCTCATAGAATATCAGTCCCCTGATTCGACGAGGTTAAAGCCTCAATCAGGGAGCCCTGGCTGACAGGAGTGTCAGAGGAAGCTGGATCAGTGTCAAGGACTTTCCACATGTAAACAAATGATGACTTGGTGACGGGATACTGGCCTCTTGAAGGTTTTTTCCCACCTGCCATGGCTCTATATTCTTTCATATCCTTTGTTAGTAAAAATATTTTGATCCAAATATAAAATATTACTTAAGCTGAAGAAAGTTCCACACTTTTATCATAATGTGTGTAAAGAAGTATTTCCTAACTTGTCTCCTGAATGGGCTGACTCTGATATCTATTCTCCCATTTTGACTGTGTTAGCTGAAAAACAGAGCCATTAAACTAACTCTCACTTTCTAGCTCTTGGTCCACAGACCTTTAGTCTACAACATCTCATGCGCAAGTCCAAGTTTTCTTTTTCAATGCTACCTTTTCAGGCAATGAGTTTCCTGGCCCCTGACTTAACTAAGTCAGCAAAACAGCAAACAATTGGGACTCCAGCAGAGATCCTTGCAGAATGCCACTTTCAAGCCAATTTGAACAGACACCCTTATCCCTACCCTGACTTCCATCAATTACCTAGGTCAATAATTGTCTTTACTTGCATAAGCTTTAAATTTCACTCATTGTCTCTTTACTGAATGCCTTCTGGAAGTCTGTGTAAGTATTCCACTGTCTACCATTTTAGGTACTTCATCAAAAACTTCAATTCAATTCATTAAACATGACACGCTATTTATAAATACACAAGAAAATTACGTCAGATGCTGGAAATCTAAAATATAAGCTGAAAATGTGAGAAATATTCAGCAGGTCTAGCAGCAACTATGCAGAGAAAAATAACTTTAAATTGCTGCACCAATGCTGCCAGATCAGCTGAGCATTTCCAGCATAATCTCTTCTTACTTTACAAATTCATGTTGGCTGTCTAATCAGCTCAAATTTCTCTAAGTGCTCTATTACTGCCCTTAATTATGGATTCCATTATGTTCCTCAAAACTAACAAGTCAATAATTTCCTGTTTCTTTTTTAACTGGCGCACCTTATTTAAATAACTGAGTTACAATTATAATTTTCTCATCTCAAGTTACAGTTCCTGAATCAAATTATCTTTGGAAGATTATGTCTAAAACATCTGCAACTAATTCTTCCAAAACACTGAGACAGAAATTGTCAGAACCTAAAAATTTGTTGGTCTCTTCTTCTCGTACTGTTTTCTTGCTGATGTTAACCTTAGTTGAATTCTAATCTTTCATTCATTATTACTTTCCCTGGACATCAGATATATAGGCATCTATCTACTGTGAAGACTGACTGCCACAAAATAATTATTCAACAAGCCTTCAGTCTCCTTATTTTTATTTTATAATGTTATTAAAGGATTCACCTTACTATTTACTATTTCTTCCTAATATGATTGTCCAAATATTGTGTGTAAAATTAAAAGGGCTTCTAAAGTTGAGAAGCATGTGGAACCACGTGGTCGAGGAGATGGTCACCCCAGCTGCTACCTAGGGATCAAGGAAATATAAAGTGCATGGAAATCCACCATGGTAGGAATAGGCGGACAGTGCAGGAATCTTTTGACAGAGTGTCATTTTCAACCTGGTTCTCAGTGCGGTTCAGAGCACATCCACAGCATATTGGGTCAGTATAATAGAAGTAAAACGTAGGAATTCAGTGTCATTGAATATTTCACTGTTAGGAAAACAGAAAGACACTTCTGCAAACTTTGACATTAGTCCTGCACCCGAAGTCGAGAGAGAAAAATAGAGGTAATATTTGAGGTCTGTGATCTTTTTATGAAACTAAGAAAATTTAGAAATGTATTATATTTTGAGCAAAGGAAATGGACAAGTGTGGACAAAGGAACAAAAAGGAAGGTCTATGATACAGTGGAAGGCAGGCCAAATTAAATGATGAAGGGGTACACACAGCGAGTGGTAATAGGACAAATATATAAACAAAATATTTGTCTGGAAGAGGTGTGAATGGCAGAATGATGAACAGATACCATCATAGCCAAAGACAGAGAAAGACAAGACAGAGAAACCAAAACTAGCCAAGAGAAAGGAAACAAAATGGAGGCAGAAATAACGATATAAATTTATTGAATTCAATGTTGACAGAAGAAAGCTGTGAAGTGCCCAGTGAAAACACAAGGTGTTGTTCCTCAAGTCTAGGCTGAACTTCATGTTGCAACATCTCAGGAGGCCACAGACAGAAAATCCTAAGTGAGAGCAAGATGAAGAATTGAAATGATAGGGTCCTGGGATCTTATGGTCATGCTTGCAGGCTGAACAGAGGTAATCTACAACATTGCATTTTGTCTTTCCAGCATGGAGAAGACAATACCATGAGCAATAAATGTAAGATATTAAATGGAAAGAATATGTTTGGGACTTTGGATAGTGAGGAAGGAGGTAATGAACAGGCAGGTGTTGCATCTCTTGCATTTGTATGGAAAGGTACTGCAGCAAAAGAAGGGGATTTATGGTTTCTGAGAAATCATAGAAGGAATGGTCCATTTGGAATGCTGAAAGGGGAGGAGAGAGGAAGGGAAGATGTGTTCGATAGGGGCCTCATGCTGTAAGTACTGGATTTTACAGGGAATTTTGAATATGAATGGTGGTGGGATAGAAGGAAAGAACGGGCAAACCCCCACTTTGGCTCTAGAAAGGAAAGGAAGAGTTGAGAGCAGAAATTCAAGGTGTTGGAGCAGAGCTCTCAAAATGTCCTAGTGGAGGATGGAAGTTTAGAGAAATTAGGTATCCATGGTGGAAAGGGGTCAGTTAAGGTCAGGAAACTGGAAACTTTTAAAGTGACACAGAGGATTGGAAGAGTCATGAGTGTGGGCAGGAGGAGAAAATTGGAGAAAAAAAAGAGTTGAGACATCAGGTCAGAAGGGCAGGAACAGGCTTAAATAATGGGTATTCATGGAAGTTCTACGGATTTTGGGAAGGAGGTCATAGCCTTCTGTTCAGAATTTGGAGGGGGTTGGAGCTATGAGGTTGGAAACCACAGAAGGAAGTTCTTGAGGAGTTCATTGACAATCCTGGAAGTAATAATTTAAAGTTAGGTCATTGTCTGGCAGGAGTTAAGGGAAAGCATTGGGACAGTTGATGTTCAGCCTCTACCAGGTAAAGATTGTAGCCATGATGTGGAGGTGCTGATGTGCTGACTGGGCTGGACATAGTCAGAAGTCACACGACACCAGGTTTATTTGAAATCACAAACTTTCAGAGTGCTGCTCCTTCATCAGATGAAGTGGCAAAGGAGCAGTACTCCAAAAGCTTGTGATTTCAAATAAACCTGTTGGACCATACCTGCTGTTGTGTGACTTCTAACTAGGTAAAGGTTGATACAGCAGACAATAGAACCAACGTTGTCAGCAGGTTTGAAGGCAATGTGAGATATTAGAGAATGAGGCCAGTTAAGAGTCTACCACATTGCCATGGGTCTGGAGTCACATATATGTCAGACTAGATAAGGATGACAGATTTACTTCCCTAAAGGGATTAGTAAACCAGATGGATTATTTAAAACAATAATTACATAGTTGCCATTAGATTAGCTTTTTATTGAATTCAAATGTGCCATCTGCCATCCTGGGATTTGAACCCATGTCCTCAGAGGACTAGTTTGATTACTAGGCAAATAACATGTATATGTAATACATGATATATATAAAATTCTAACAGTGCTAGGTAGACTATATGCAGGGAGGATGGTTCCCTTGGCTGTGGAGTTTAGAACCAGGTGTCAGGGTCGCAAGATATGGAGTAGGTCATTTAGGACTGAGATGAGAAAAGGTTTCCTCACTCAGCGAGTGGTCAAATTGGGGAATTTGCTACCACAGAAGGCAGTTGAGACTGGGTCACTGAGTATGTTCAAGAAAAGGATTTATAATTTTTTAGATATTAAAGGCACCAAGGGGTATGGCGAGAAAGCATGAATACAGCATAGAGATAGAGGATCGGCCATTAGCATATTGAATGATGGAACAGGCCTGAAGGACCGAATGGTCTACTCCTGCTCTTAGTTTCTATGTTTCTTTGAAGAGGTCACTAACTGACAAGAGATGAAGGGGACGTTCTTGCACAGGTTCCATCTCCAACTCCAAGTGTACAGGCCGAAGAAAATATTCCTGGACCATTAACCATTTCCATAGACTGTGAAAAAAATTCCTTTAAAATGTGCTGTCCAAATGTATTTTTAAGATCTGAGTCAGTAGAGAGGCAGATGCCAACCTACATCACGTGCTGTAAATGCGTTTGGTGGAGTGGGGTGACCAGGATGGTGCAACTGATTTACATATACATGGACCACAATGGTTTTACCATGGTCCAATACCTCCACCACCACCTCACAATCCCTACCCCACCCTGCCACCACCTCACAATCCTTACCCCACCCTGCCACCACCTCACAATCCTTACCCCCCCCCCCCCCACCCTCCCCAGTTTATAGGACTCCATCATTAAAGACCATGTTTTCAATTGCCTAGGACCTAAGCTCTAGAATTCTCTTTCTCAACCACTTCTCTAACTAAAATCTTCTTAAAACCATCTGTTATATTTCAATATGGCTTTGTGCCCATTGTCTTATTAAGTAAAGGAGTTTTAGACATTTAAGTGGGTTTAAATTGCTGTACAAATGTAAATATGTGAATAGTTGCAAACTGAATAAACTGTGGAACTTTATAAATTTATAATTATAATTAAATTTATTATTATAAATCTAGTAATTCCAACTGAATTCAGTTTAATCATTACTGAAAAGTATAAATACCCAATCTTTTAGTTATATGTATTCCACATATAAAACCTATCTTGGTTGTTATATATATTGTTAAATGAACACGTTTTTCAAATAATTACCTCGGTCAATAACATACATATAAAGTCCAAACTACGTTGAAATGGGAGAATTAAAGAAATTTATCGTTTCCGTTTTTTTGTGTGAACGTTAAGTAGAACGTACAGAGCTAATTAAATACCTGTGAATACAACTGCTCCTTTAGGCTCAGCAGATGCCGGAAACTGATTATTCTTGCCAGTACGGAGTGACATTTGCTTCCAATTAGTTTTATAACAATCGATCAGGACACGTATTCCCGAAATACTGACACCGAGTTGCGCAGCCCTTGGCTAAATGCGGACACTCCCACAGCGACATTGACACCAGCGTTGCTATAGATGCCTGATTCGTTGCAATGACAGTTCAGTGACGAAGGCCCAAGGCAATGAGCTTGAGAGACTGAGAAAGAGCTGAGGGAACAGGGACAGAGAGGGAACAGAGGGAACAGAGGGAAAAGGGGTAGACAGCGCGCAGAGAGAACACACGGATAGGGAGACAGCAGAGGGAACAGGGAAAGGGAGAACGCAGGGAAAAGGGACAGGGAGGGAGCAGAGGGAACAAGGACAGGGAGATAACAGTGAAAACAGAGCACAGGGAAGAGTGGCAGTCACGAACAGAGGGAATAGGGACAGGGAGAGAGCAGATGGAACAAAGGACAGAGAGACAGCAAAAGGAGCAGGGTCAGGGAGAGAGCAGAGCTGATGGGCATATGGCAGGACGTGAAACAGGGAGACAGAAGAAGCAACAGCGATGGGGACAGGGGACAGGGAAAAGGGAAATAGGAGAGGGCAGAGGGCAGAGGGCAGAGAGGGCAGAGGGGAGAGGGGAGAGGGGACAAGGAAATAGCAGAGGAATCAGCGGCAGGGATCAGGGATCAGGGGCAGGGATTTC